GCACGACCCCGAGCTCAGCCCCAGCCAGGTAGCCACGCACCAGCCGTCGTCCCGCCAAGCCAGCGCGATGTCGCTTCTCTTCGCTTTGTGCCAACAACGCGGGGACGCGCGGCAGGCGCTGCCCTTGGCTCTCTGCGCTTTGTGCCTGTCAGAGTAACCAGGCCAACGGGGAGAGCCTCTCCCCAGACATCTGGTGGCCCCTGGGGGATCGAGCTAGTGCCTCGGCCATGTTGCTAGCCAGACAGGCAATGCCTCTCCACCTCTCCCTCCGTCATGGGTGATGTTAGGAGATGCAGATGCCTGGGAGGCACCGCGAGTTCTCGTGTCTTCCTCCACTCTGGGGTCAGGAGTCGTGTCTCGTGCCCACAGCTCCGCGTGCTGGGAGCTCAGGTGCGGCCATGAGCCCGCCCAGCCTTTGAGACCTTTCCCAGGCCTGTGGGGCCTGGTTGCTTGAAGGATGGGGAGAGCAGGAAGGCAACTAGCAGCCTCTCACACCACAGCGGCTGCACTGCACAAGCCCAAAAGCCCCATGGACACCTCCCTCTCAAGACTGAGCCCAGGAAGGTTGGAGCTGCAAGGTGAGCCCAAGCTGGCTGCCAGCCGCAGCGCCCCCAAGGCTGACAGGTCTCCGGCCAGTGCAGGGCTTTTGCTGGATCAGGACTCTCCACGGCTGGGACAAGCACTGCTTTCTGGAAAGCACTTAACAGGGACAGACACCCTCAGTCCAAGTGACCCAACAGCGCTGAGGCAGCAGGAGCAGCCTTGTGTCATCACAGCAGATGTGGTCTCGGGGCCAGAAGCAGGGTCACAGCAGAAGGAGCCCAGAGAACAGGACCGGGTGAAAAGAGCTGCTGTTCTTGCAAGACCTAAGACCCCATCTCCTTTTGGGGGCAAAGATGCAGCAAGGTGCTGTTTTTCTGGCAACTTTAAAGGTTCAAGTCCCATCAGTCACCAACCTCTCAATAGCAAGTCTGGTGCCTTTCTGTCTCTGGATCTCTTTGACACAAGGACCTCTTCTGCTTTGGACTCAAAACCCTCTGAAGCGAAGGCCTTGCTGCGACTCTCCAGGAGCTTCCTCCTGCCAAAGTCGAAGGAAAGCAACAATCCTCGAGACACTGTCAGGCCACCAGTGGAGGCAGTGGAGTGAGTGAAGAAATGAGTCTGGACTCTGCAGTGGTCTTACCTGGAAGCCGTTTGCTGCTCTGCTGTTGAACCGTGCAGGGATGGTGTGCAGGTCTCAGAGCATCATACTGGGGACTGCACTGTGCTGACATTGCAGGCAGAGGACAGGAACAAGCTTTGCAAGGCCAAATGGAAAGTGGAAACTCTTGTGGGAAAGTGTCCTGACCTCGTACATCAGAGCATGAGTTACTCAGAGCTTGCTATCAATGGGCCAGGAATCTTGGGCCCTATTCAGTTGCAGCTCCTTTTCCTGCCTTCCCCTACACTCCCACAGCCGGGCAAACAGCAGCAACTGGCTGCTGCTTGTAGCTGCAGGGAACGGGATTGCCATTCTCTCCCCTGTTACAAGGGCAGGGCAGAAGTGAACTGTTGTGTCCCCCCGCCGGTGGTTTTACAGCATTTACACCACTTTCCTCTCTGTCCCCACAGGAACGGCTATCCAGATGCTCAGTATCTCCACCGGGTCCTAAAGAAATTGGGCATTGCATAAGATTACCTGTCTGAGCAGCTGTATCCTCTTCCTCCCTGCCATAACTGCAGCTCAAAGTCGAGTTCCTTGTATCCCTGGAGGTAGCCAAAAAGCTGTACATGGGTGACAGCAGTTCCCCCAGACACTCCAAGGCCCAGCTTGAATCTGAGGTTCACAAACTCCAGCTCCTATGGGATGCACGTCTTCACCAACCAGTTAAGCAGGAGCCGGTTTCAGCATCAGATGCAGGCCGAGCCTCACGTGCCTTTTGACAGGGAGCCAGGAACTCCGAGGCAGCCAGGAGCCTCCTTGTGACCCGGCCCCCTCTTCTTCTTCCCCTCTGGCTCCTGGAGGCAGTTCCAGACCAGCCATCGCCAGAGCTTGTGGCAAAGCTGAATTGTCATTAACTTCAGCTGCCACCTTAGACATTTCATTCCTCAAGCAGACAGCCCCAGGCTACAGCCCCTCCCCAGCACCTGCTCTGGGAACAGCAGGAAACCTTATGTTCTCCTGGAGGGAACATTAACAGGTTTCAGCTTCTAGGACAGCTGCCTCCACTGAGAATATACAGACAAGGACTGTCTCGCCCTGAAAAAAATGCAAATAAACAAGTTTTATTCCCCCATTTTAGTAGTATTTGCTCATCCCTTGTTTTACAGTCATCCAAGGCACCTATCTCAATCTAGCCTGGCTACAGAATCACCCAGACATGGATTAAAGTGCAGAGGGCAGCAATGGGCTTTGCAGACAAAAAGGGCTGGAGCTGCCCTCCAGAAGTGCTTGTTACAAGATGGATGCAACACTCAAGGCCACAATTAACATTCGTCCTTGAGAGCGGAGGAGTCGTCTCACTCCTGGAAAGCTGTTAAAAATCGATAAGCTGAACACCTTGCCCCAGAAGCAGTAGAAGAGCCGTAAAGGCCCAGCTGGGGATAAGGTTTTCCTCTGGCAGGAGAAGGGGCAGCGTGCCACTGAGGGTTTTGTTATGCTTTTAATTAACATTTGAAACACATAAGGCATATGGTAACATCAGACAGAGGAGCATTACACATTATAGTCATGTAAACAGCATTGGCACACTTACTTCCTGGTCAACTTGGTTACACGCACAAAGCAGAATAATATTTTTTAAACAAAGATTTTCCAAGTGTCTAAGGATGAGGGTCACTCATCACAGATCTGCAAATCAGCTCAACTCAGACAGTACAGACCAAGACCATATGTTGTAGGAGGCTCAGAGTCTCATGCATTTCACATCACACTCACATACTATTTGCCAGTCACACTTTGCCACCACCAGAGACTTCATTTGGCAACAACAGTGGTTTTATACCTATGATAGCAGCTGTAAGTGGGCCAGGATGCTGCACCGATTAAAGCCTGGTGCCCACAACAGTTCTTACTTGTCCCTGGTCACTCAATTCTCACATAACACAGGTGTTCTGAAATGAAATGTACAGCTAAACTCCTGCCCCGCTCTTCCCCTCTCCCCATATCTTCAGTCCTCGCTAATGCTACAGATCGCAGTAGGGGTTGTGCTCCTCTGTGCAAGCTGAGGCTGCTTCCCCTTCCCTTCTACAGTTAGCATGCAACACAAATGAGAGAAATTAGAGTCAAAAACTTGACTAAAGCTGCCTGGTGAGAGCAAAAGAGTTGCACTTTGCCCAAGACCAGCACTGCCAAAACTGTTAGTCCAGAATTGTGACTGCAGTAATGACACTGGAAGGGTACTTGAACAGTAACCTCTGTACTAGCAGCATAAGCAGATAACACCAAGCGAGGTGCCTACATGGCAGCACAAGTGACAGAGGGCAAGGCGAAAGAAGCCTTTGCTTCTGTGCTCAGGATCTCCTTACTCATGCTTTACCCTTGGCCTCCTCTCCTCGTGGCACAGCCTGTGGGTCACAAAATCAGTAAAATAAACATTGAAATGCACTTCTGGTATATGGAATGGTATGCACAACATTGGTACAGGAATGTCCTGTTTCCTTGGTATCGTTAGTTTGCTCTAAACAGTTAAGCAATATCTGGAATTGAATGATTTTTTTGCTTGTTTTTAACCTTAGAGTTTTTTTTTGTTTTTGTTTTTTTGCTTTGGTGTTTGGTATACAACCTGCTGGTTAACTTCAGTGAGTTAAGACACTTAAAAGTTGTTTGATATAGGTTTCATACTTATTGGCCTATAGAAATGTTTGTCCGTAAAAAGACAGACAGACAATAATAAGGAAAAAAAATAGAGCATTAATTAGTGAGGCAGTGAAGAACAAGGTTTTAATCTTAAATCATTCTGTAGAAAACACTGTTGCTACTGAGGGACACAACACAGTCAAATTCATAGTAATTCCACATAACTCATACTCTGAAAAGGGCTTCAGAAATTTGGGGATAGGAAATATACTAGCAGCTACCCTAGGAGAGCTGGGAGTCCTGACTGTTTCCAGAGAGCCCTGGCACAGGCAGCAGGCTGTCTCGAGGGCAGGTTCAGAACCAAGTCTTTATGAGCGAGACAACTGCTTTACCACACAACTTTTATGGATTCAGGAGCACAGAACATCCAGGGCAGCCCTGGGAAGTCTGCAGCACGTGTAAAGAGGGTGCTACATTCAAGGAAAGTCAAACTGTGTCACCAGTGTTCAGAAAACAGAGATAGCAAGAATCACAAAAGGTTTTTGGCAGTACTTTGAAAGGCCTGCATCGGAAAGGCGCCGGTGACTTTCTAGTCCTTACAAGCATGTAGAGAAGGCACTGAGATACTGTTTTCTGTGGGGGATCACAAGGCAGCATGTGTCAAAGGTGTCCTACAAGGAGTTTCAAGATTCCTGTTTTCTTCACACCGTATCAAGATGGACTAGACTGTAAAGCCTTGCTATGCTGCCTAATTTAAGGCCATCCAAGTAAGGCACTGGGTATGCACTTAGCTGACAGTAAAGCAGAAAAAGATGTTACTGTAAAACACAACTGGATAGTTTCCCCTTTGTAAATCTGCAGAATCTGAAGATTTGCAGTGCTGTGTGCCATTTGGGCACGCTGAGCTTTCATCGAGATGAAGTCAGGTTTCACAGAGGAACAGGTCCAGATGTTCCATCTCATCAATTTAGACAGTCGTTCTGTTGTCAGACACGGTAAAGCAACATTAGACACTGTTTGATTTCATCTAAATTAGCAGTATAGAGGCAGGTTGAGAGCAGAAGCAGCAAGATTTTGGATTCAGAAAAGGTTAAGAGTTGTGCTGCGAATTTCATTAGCTTGTGTTTATGAAGTTCATATCAAGTGCAAGGAATGGAAAGATACGTACCTGTGACTGGGCACCAGCCCTTCTCTTAGATGATGGGGCTGATTTAATATTTAAAAGTTAACTAGAGCAAGTCCCCTGGCTTCTATGCCTATGCATTTCTGAATAGGTATCAAAACTAGGGACTGAACCCCAGCACCTGAAATACAACAAGCTGCACTGGCAGATGGGAGGAGCACCATTTTATTTCTCTTGTGGAAGACACAGCTGACAGAGGAAGAAGCCACATTCTCCTGCTACTTGCAGAGGAAAACCCTCAGGGAAATGTTTCACTGTGTTCCTGAGCAGCACAGTGCTTCACACACTTTAGCCAAGCAGGCTCCTTCCTCCCTACAGTTTGTTTGAACAAGCCTCCTAGTAGCAAATGTTTGCTCCTGGAGCCTGAGTTCTTCCATGATGGGCAGCTCTCCGTCACATTTACCTTTTTGAATCCAAAATGAAGCCTAAAACCCTGCAGCAGCTACAATTCATGACAAAGTCTCCAACTGCTAAAGCAAGCACCAAGAGTAACACAGTCATCCAGGGTTGAAAACAAGAGTAGAGCAGGAAGGAGGGCACTGCCTAGAACATTAAGTGCTCACAGAATTAGGTTTGGGCCTCTGCACAGCTACATTTCCAAGTGCATGGAGGAAAGAGAAGAGACATGGAGTTCTAGTCTGGGAGGAGCACCCAGCTGGTTCCCAAAGCCTTGGTATTTAGGGGGCCTCAGAGTCCCAAAAATGGCAGTTCCAGGGAGAAGTAGAAGCAAGCCCTACAGCAGCACCAAACCTCAGCACGAGAGCTGGTTTGAGGAAGTGTCTAGACAGCGTGCTAGAAGACAACAGAAAGCACAGCTGAAACTGCTCCAGATGCCCAGACCAAGAGACTTGACACAGAGCCAGGCAGTTTGCCATCTGTACCTGGAACTCAGGGAAAGCTTCACAGGACAAATGTGAAGCCCTGTGAAGCAGGTTTACAGGACAGGTTCTTGCTAGTTACCTCCCAAACCACATCATCTTCTCCCCAATGCCCAGGGTATGGCACAAAGAAAGCACTAACAGATGCTTATCCACATCTTGCTGACATCCGATTCCAGACTGCAGCCTTTGGAAATACAAACATGAGGATGAAGTTTAGCCTTAACAATATCAACTTGGAGCCCAATATTAATAAAGCACAGAGCCAACATCAATTGTTCCAGTCATTTCTGAGACAGTTGAGTCCCTATGGCCTCTAAAATCACACACAGTTTGGCCTCACTTCACAGTTTGGGATCAGAAAATGGACAAGATCATGGTAACTAACTGAAAGTTTTCTTCAGTATTTAGACACATACACATAGTATTTAGACCAGCCTCTCAGGTCATTTGCTGACTGCACATGGAAATGACTGCAAATTAAGAGCGCAATATGCTAGACTCCAAAGTGTTAAACCAAATATTTACAAGGCAAGCACAAAATGACCTGTTACTGTTGCACTGGTATTAGAGGGCTATGAAAGCACAGGGGAAAGAACCTAGTAAGTGTAAATTGCAGAGTAGTCAGTTCTAGAATAAGACTAGGCCAGCCACATTTTTCCTCTGGCTACTTAAGAAGCTTCCACATTTTGGTCCATTCTTTTTTTCTGAAAACATTTCTCAAATGTGATGGCGAGTGCTACTATGTGGGATCAGTTTCTGTGGAGATTCTTGGCAGCTGCTATAATATTTTACACTTTCATTTTAGAGTGATAGGCTACGCAGTTGCTAATTATGAGCTGCCTGGAAGCTTCACTTGCACTGCCAGAGAAAAATAAGATTAGTCTGGAATTTCAGTAGAAAAACAAGTGATTAGAAAAGTGTGTGAAATAAACAGGCTTCAGAACAAAGCTAGGGCAAGAGGCATATTTGGCAAAGGGCCAGTCATGACCAGAGCATGCAAACCTCATCTGAACTTTAACCAAGATGCTCCTTATTGATGAAGATGAAAGCTATTGATCTGTCCATTTCCAGGTCCCAAAGGGATCAGAGAGTTAAACCATGAATCCACAATCTGCACATATCTCTCGCCTTGTTAGTTCTCTTCTTTCTTGGATTCTTCCTTCGGTACTTCAGGAACTAGGATGACCTTCCCAACGTTCTTCTTCTCCTGCATGTGCCTCATGGCATCTGCCACCTAGAAACAACAAGAGTCCCATGAGAACCACATCCACCATGCAGCATGTCAGGCCCCTCCTGACTCCCTGGATCCTCCCACACCAGTCTGAGGGGATCCATGAGGCAGCTTTCCCAGCAGCACATGCAAGTGCCAGACCTCTGAGCACATCTGCACAGATGTGTTTAGGACAGAGCTGGGCAGCTACCCAAGACTGCTGAAGAATCCACACACATCACAGAAAGGATACCCCACTATGCAAGCTGTGGAAGGCAGCAGAGAAGTGGAAAGGAAGCTCCAGTGACACACAGAGGGAAACACTGCAGAGACACAGCCAACAGCCAGAAGGACAACACTCCTACCACCTACACAATTCTAGGACAAAACATTTACAGATTTTTAAGCAAAACAGCACCTGGGCCAGGCTTAGAATCAACGCAGTTATCCTTAAATATTTGCCTTGCAGATCAGTAACACGAATGGATCATTACAAAGTCCTTTGCTCCCCTGCAATAGCTCCCACCCCAGCAAAAGATTTGAAGGGAAGCAACTGACTCAACTCAGACAGCAATGCAATGGCATTGAGCACACCAGAGGTGCTGAAAAAGCTGCAGCTTCCCTTTCAACATCCTCATTCTGCTTTATTGCCTGGGCTCCCTCCCACCCATGAAAGGGCAGCAGCAGTCCTGGGTGTCTGTATAATTACAGCATGCAGACTCGGGGCAGTCTCCAATGTGATGCATAACCCCATCGCTTCACAGGCTGCTGCTGCTGCCCAGAGAACACAGCCCAACACCTGCTCTATTCCAGAGACGCTGCCTGGCACGGTCCAGCTCTGTGCATTGGAGCAGGAGACCCTGGCCACTTTCCTTCCCCTTAGCACATTAAAAGGGAGAAGGGTGCTTAACAGCTGAGAACAGCTGGTTGTTAACAGCTTGCAACACTTCACCCCGTGAATGAGGTGCTCACCTTGAGTCAAAACATACTCTGCAGAGAACATAGTACTTTCTGGATGCTGACAGCTTGTGCATTAGCTCAGACTCACCTTTTCAAAGGGCCATACAGAGTCTATCTTGGGCTTGATTTTGCCTTGGTTGTACAGGTTCACCAGCTTCATTACAACTCCTCCAATAAGCTCATGCTCTTCATCCATGTTTCCAAGGTCATAGCCACACACAGCCTTGTTATGGTGTAGGAGCTGCAAAGCATTGATGCTGAACTGGTTCCACCAGGTTTTAGCGATAGCTATGAGGTTCCTCTTCTGCCCAGTGATCAGGTTCGTTACTCCTAAAAAGACAAGCCATGATAAGTTAGAGCCAACACAACAAAAGGCAGCAGATGCGTTACACAGTTCAGACAATACCCAGGACAACAGCTGCTGGGAGAACTGGACCATTATCAGAACCTGCCTAAACAACCGGCAGCGAAAGCACAGACTGGCTCTGTCCACAGGGTGTGCAGCCTGTGGAGTGTCCACTGCCAGGTACCACAAAAATAAACAACAACTCGACCCTTAGCGGTGGCAGCAGCACAGCTAGACTGAAGCAGTGCCAGAGGCAAGGGAGGGTTACCCGGCACCTCCAGCCACGCCGGCAGTGCAGACCTCTCTTCTGTCACAGCCAACGGAGCCAGCCTCCCGGAGGGGAGCAGCACGGCACGCTGCAACGGTTAAGCATGGGAACAACAGAGGCAGTGCTCTGATGCAAGCGTCTGGAATCCCACTGGGGGCTGTGTGAGTGCTTTGTCTACACAGACAAAATCACAGTGTTTCAGGGCTGGGGAATGGAGAGATAAGTATTCAGTAGCTTCTAACTTCACCACCCACACATCCCATAATAAAAAAAAAAACAGTTTCTATTAGTGCTCTGCATTAAGTCAGGCCAGACAAAGCAGCTGTGCCAGCGCTCCTCCATGAGGACATTCCAGCTTTCCCTGCAGGCACTTAGTCACGCTCCGTGAGGGATGTGCTCACCGTAGGGCTGAGCACTGCAGTCTACAGCCAGGGCTCTCTGGACAAGGCGCAAGCCCCACTCCCCACAACGCCCCACCCAAACAGGGCATCTTAAAAACCTGAGCAAATAACTGAACTTGGTCTGCAATAGCAGCAAGCAACTGTGATATCCCTCGCAGCCTTGTGACCAAGCCCAGAGCAATGCAGAGCATTCCCATGCAGATCACACCCACCCCGCTATCACATGATCCCTCATAAACAGGAGCCCGGACTTTGGGACACACTGCCCAGCAGACAGCTCTCACACTCACCGTAAGTTATGAGCTTGCCCATGGGCTTCAAGAGGTGAAATCCTTTGGATGTATCGGATCCTCCCAGGGGGTCCATGACAATGTCAACACCTACAGGGAATTGAAAACACCTAGAAGTTTCTTTGTATTTCAAAGAAACACAAGACACTTGTAAAATCATCCAGGCAAAGTACCTCTGGGAGAGATCTTCCGTATCTCTTCTGCATAATCCATCGTTCTGTAGTCAATGGGGTGAGCAACACCACTCTCTTTGAGCGCATCATGCTTGGAGGCTGATGCTGTGCCAAAAACAGTGATGTTTTCTACTGTTTTACAGAGCTGAACAGCAGCAGTCCCCACACCACCTGAGATGAAGCAAAGGGAGAGACTTTGAATCAAACAGGGAATTAGAGCATCTGGAAAGCCTTTGGACACGTAAGTTATCCCTGCTTGTACGATTCCTGCAAATGTAGTAGGCATATCTGAGACAGACCAAAACCAGCAAACCATGCAGGTGAAACACGGTTAGCCCTAGCATCTTTGCCAGAGCCTCAGGAGCAGCAGAACTGGTCCAGCCATACAATGAATGGGTTTCCAGAGGATTTGCCTGTGTCTGTGTCCATGTGGCACCTGCACCTCTGGCAGATGATGCTTTGTCAGTCCAGTACTATCAGAACTGCCTCGTGACCTGCATCCCCCATCACGGGGCTGCATATTGAGGCAAGAGCTGTGGCACGGGCTGGCAGCACCTGCTTACCTGCAGCCATGTGGATGAGGACGCTCTGGTTGGGTCTCAGGTTTCCGAAGTCAAAGAGGATCATGTAGGCAGTGATGTAGTTGACAGGAAAAGCAGCGGCCTCCTCGAAGCTCATGCCCTCGGGCATCGGCCAGGTCTGGCTGGCTGGCACGTTCACCACCTCCTGCCAGAGCCCCGAGCGGGCCAGCACACCTGCTTACCTGCAGCCATGTGGATGAGGACGCTCTGGTTGGGTCTCAGGTTTCCGAAGTCAAAGAGGATCATGTAGGCAGTGATGTAGTTGACAGGAAAAGCAGCGGCCTCCTCGAAGCTCATGCCCTCGGGCATCGGCCAGGTCTGGCTGGCTGGCACGTTCACCACCTCCTGCCAGAGCCCCGAGCGGGCCAGCACCACCACCCTGTCTCCGACCTGCGAGAGAGGAGCCGCAGGCTGCTCTGAGGGGGGCAGCAGCAGCAGCAGCCCCCGCGCTGCTCCCCGGCCTGCCTGGGCGGCTCCGCTCCCTCACCCGGGATTCCCGGGGCGCCGCCGGGCTCCAGCCTGGTCCCGATGGCCTCGGGCT